TAGATCATTCTACACCTACCTTTCCCATTCCAGCTTTCAGGCCTTCCTGCTCTTATAATCTTCCTACTTTCTAACATCATATCTGTCACTTGTCTTGTATGCAACTATCAGGTCAGGTCCAGTGGGTGTCTGTCTGCCTCACTTTACCATCCTTTGATCTGTTTGCTGTTGATAGACAAGTTCTTCAGGTCCTTACCCACTGTCTTCCTTTCCATTTCTCTTTCTCCTCACTTCCCATTTCCCTTTCTCCTCCCTCTGACCCCATTTGTCTTCAAAGTCTCAAGGATGTAGTCTCAGATCTAACAAAAATGCAATTGATAGGGTATGCACCCCTTATCTGGGTTTTTACTCTTTTTCACCCAGTCTTTGGATGACCAAGATTGACAAGTCGGATGTCTTCCTACATATCCCATTCCTCCATCCTCTAAAGATTTGTTTATACATTGTCCATTGGAATAGTCTTTCAATTCTATACTCTTCCCTTCAGCATAGTCTCAGCCCCTTACATCTTCAATCTGGTCATAAGGGCTTTTACTCACCACTTTCATGGACTGGGGCTGTGATTCCATATCTACATGGCTTCTACTCAGCCTCTTCTTAGGAGGTGTCCTTCTCTCACACCTCCCTTCTTTTGCAGGAGACTGATGGATTGGGATGGCTTGTCAAACCTTCTATATCTTTTCTCCCATCAACATAGTATTTAGTACATCTGGGTGTCTTCTTTAACTTGGGGTCAACCTTCGCCAATGAGCTATGGAATATATGGTTTGTGCTTTTCATTTTCATCCTGTGAAAGAGGTTATTTTACTTTTGGAGACTCTGGCTTCCCTGTCACCAATTGTTCCATTGAAGCATGTACATGTGCACTTCCCTGAGTGGACTTTGCAAGATTAGTGAATTTTTTTCTGAGATTTATTGTCCTCAATTGTTAACCTCCCATCTCTTCTTCTTGAGGACCTTTCTTTGTGGCTAGACTGTGTCAATACCATGATTGGTGTTCCCTTACCCACCATGTGCCTGGATCTTCATCTCTTCATCGATGCTTTCCTCTTGGATTGGGGCACATGTCTGAACAACAACATGACTTATGGCATTTGGGCACAGGAGGATAGTTCACTCTATGTCGAACAGTGAGAAGTTCGAGTATTTTACCAGGCATGTCCCCATTTCCTTTCTTTTATAGTAAATCAGTTGGTCATGATCCATCATGACAATTCCACAGTTGTTTCTTATATCATCTGACAAGAAGGCACCTGCTCCAGGGCTCTCTGCTTTCAGGCATTGGACCTCTTTTTCTGGGCTCATTCCCATTGGGTTCATCTCATGGCTTGTGATGCACCAAGGGCTTTGAACTTGGTGGTGGATTGTGCACTTGATGCTTCTTGCATGCTGTTCCATCACACTTACTCATTCACCTGGACCAATCCTTTCTTCCTAAGACTTCAGGCACTTAGGAGGACAATAATTCTTTCTGTTCTATCTCTCACCTCTATGCTCATTCTGATCTGGATTGACTCCTATGTCCATTTCATGCTGTTTGCTGTAGCTTGGCGCAAACGTTTCTCTTTCAGGGACCTCACCATTGTTTGTTTTTACCCTATGACCCTCTTCATTCAGGGACACATCTCCTTCTACTTATATCAGATGTGTCTGTCAACTCCCTGGTTGGTGTATTCTTCTCTGGATATTGATGCTCAGGGGGCTCTTTCATATTTCATCACCTTAGATTCATCAAGAGTCTTATTCTCTTGCTTTTCATTTTTGCTGACCCTTGGATGAGATCCTCCAGGTGGGCATGTGGACAACTCCCCACATGTTTGTTGCTTTTTGTCATCACCATTTGGCTGTTTCATCTCCCTCTGGTCACCATTCTTCAATCAACTCACCATTTTTGAGATAGGAATGTTTTTTTTTTTACTTTCCCTTTCCATCTAACAGGATTCTGCCAGATGGCTGGTGTTGCCTCCCAGGGTATGCTTATTTCCCAAAATCCTCATTGGGCCAGGGGTAACAGAAAGCACTCGGACCATTTGTTTTCTCTCTATCAATGCTCACTGTCGAGATAAGGTGTTCCACAAAACCAATAAAGGTATCTTTGTGGTGTACAAAATTATTCAATTGCTTGATCCAGGCTGTACCATTCCATAGGAAAATGCAGCACCAGGAAAGTGGCTGCCCACTTCTTTGGCTCGTACTTTCTGGTTTTCCAAAATAGGGTCTTGCAATCACCCATTGCCCTGTCTCCAGTAAAAAAAACTTTTTTTGGCAGGTGTCCAATGGGAATTTGGGCACTTCTATGGGTCTTCCCAGTGCAAATTATCTCCCTCTTCAAGAAAAGCACAGGAGACCTTTGCCACTTAACAATTCTTAACTACTGGGGTTGTGGACCTTGAAGAGTTCCTTACCGAATGGGCTTAATGCAATATGGTTCAAATTAGTCTTTGTGATGCTGTCAGTATAGTGCAGGTCACCCCTTAAACAGCTAGTGTGTCCTCCTCCTGCAGAATGAGTCTGTCTAGTTCAATTGAGGTGAGCATACCCAATATGGTTTGATTGTACCCTAACCACATTACACTTACTGGCTTGCCAACCACCTGTGTGTGTAAGTACCCAGATGGTCATGTTCTTATTCTGCCCATGCCTGTGACATTTGGGGGTTATTCGCCTCTCTCTCCTTTTACATTCAGGGCAAAGAGAATGCCTTGGCCAAGATGAGATGTGGTCTCCCACAGGTTTTCCCCTATGGAGCCCTTAGCATCGGGTATCACATTCTATGGGCTTTCTATTTGGACAGTTTCTGAAGAGAGCTCATCCAGTTTTAACTTTGCACCAGTCCCTCCATCAGTTCAATATAAGATTATATCTATTCTGTTTGCAGAGGTGAGGTATTGTCTTGAAAGGTAACATTTTCCTAATCTGAAAATGTATTTCTGGAAGGTACTCACCTCTTGATACACTCCCACCTGACTTGTGCTTCACTGTCATCTAGCTTTGTCTAAGAATGAAGTTATTTTTAGTGCAAGTGCTTAAGTGGAATTACTATGCCTGGAGGTTGTATCACCCTCTTATTGGTAAAGGGCTTTTGTGATATGATAATGTTATCATACACCAGTTCAGTTCATGTTAAGCACATGAATTGGAGAGATATAGCTATTCTGCGTGCAGAGGTATCTATCGGAAATACATATTCAGGTTAGGAAAATGTTAACTTTAGTTATATTAAAACATCATTTTTCACTAGCAGACTTGCATGTATGGCTGATAAAACTTAATCTGAATTTTTAGGGAAGGACTGATGATTACTATTGTGTTTCTGTAATTAGGAAGGAAATGAAAAACAAGTTTTAATAGTGAGGAATATAATGTACCCAGAATTTGTGAATTTCAGTGGAAAATACTTATTTTGTATTTATACAATACATTGACCTTATGAGTAAGAATGTTATTTTAGCCCTGTGTAAGTCTGGTGAAGCTTTATTTGAGGCACTGTCAATGTTTACAGTTTGATTCCTTTTTTACAGTAATTATATATACATGCTGGAAGGATGGGCTCGTAGTTTTTTGAACTATGAAGAGAAGATAAAAACATAGGGCATGTCTTTTTCTATAGCATTAGTGAACTAGAGATTGATTCAGTTGTTTAAACTTTCATTTCCAAAGGGTTACAAGGGGCCATTCTGTAATTAAAAGTTGTTGGAATGTTTTGCATGACAATATATGTGTTATTTCTTTAAAATTATTTAAACTTTTTAGATAGTTATAAGTATATGAAAGGCTAGATGTAGTTTTGTATTGTTTTTGGTGATGGAGAGTTGACCTTGATAAGCTGAATGTGTGGCTTTTGGTCATTTTGCTTAAGCATCTTAACATTACTGAGTATTACCATTTGTCATATAGCATAGAAATGTTGGTCCTTGTTTGAAATTCTGCAATTTTGTTTTCAGGTAGCAATAATACTTGATAGATTACCATGAAAACATCCAGTACTTTTATCTATATGTATTGTATAATTTGTTTATTTTGTATCTATAGCATTTTATGTACAGAATCCAGTAAGTTAATTTATATCTAATGGTTTGAAGCTATGTGGGCAGGGCATGACCTAGTGGTTAGTGTGCCTGAACTGTAGATCCAGTTGACAGAAATGTCCTCTGCACTTTAGGGCATTAAGTGCACTATAAAAATGATAGTAAAATTCTACTACTTGATCAGATAAGAGTGTAAGAGTGTCCCAAGAGTTAGCAATAAGTGATGTTGACTAGCTGCCTTCCTTCTAGTCCAGCATTTCTCAAACTGGGGTTTGCGAGTCATGTCCAAAATTTCATACAAGCAAATCGTATTTTTCATAGAATTAAATTTATATGAATTAAAACATTTCATTTTGGATTACAGCTATTCGTGTATGCAGAATATTTTTTTCAAAACAAAAACAATAATACATGTAAAGTTCCACAAAACACATTTATATTAAAAGGAGTCCTCAGGTTTCTTAAGTTTGAGAACCATTACTCTAGTCTATCAATTCAAAATTAGCCATTTGTGTAGTTTTGCACAAAATGTATAAAAACAAAATGTGTAGTGAAAATTTGTTATAATATTTAATCTGTTTTCTGAAAAGGTACCTTACCTTACTTCTGCTTACTTACATATTCTCATTCAGTGCTGCCCTCTATTTTCAAATATATTTAGCATGCCACAAGCCTTTCACTCCCATGCACCCCCTTGATTCACATAGTTTAACTAATTCTTGTATGCACATTATCATGCAATAATCAGTTGAACCATGTGAATCAAGGGGTGCATGAGAGTGAAGGGCTTGTGGCATGTGAAACTTGTTTTGCAAATAGAAAGCAGCACTGAATGAGAATAGCTATGTATGTGAGTGGAAGTAAGTACCAGTCAGAAATACATTTTCAGTGTAGGAAAATTATAACTTTAATTTCTTTCTTCTGTGTTGTAAGTAATTATAATTAAAAGTTTTTTTTATAATTTACTTCTAGATCACAGTAAAAATAGCAGGATTGGAAGGGGAAAAACCAGTACTTTGTAGTCGAGATATTCTTATAGTTCCTGACAGCAGCCTAGAAGATGCTATAAAAGAAGGGCCGTATGATATAATAGTTCTTCCTGGTGGCTTAAAAGGAGCTGAAAATTTAGCTAAGGTAAAGTAAGGATTAACACCAAAGTTCAATAAACATTTGTGAATGCAGAATTTTTTTTTTGCAGGCTTGAAATATTTACTACAATTTTGTAGTTGAAAGATATTAAGTTAGGGGTTTTAGATGAATATTTATTAGAAACACTAAGCATTATGCTTGCTATATAATTACTGCTGGTGTAAGGATTAATTTTATTTTAATATGTTGCTTTACATTTCTAAATGCTTACCATATGAGGTCTAAGTTCTAGTTTAAGTTTGCTTTAAAAAACATGTGGTCAAATTACTGACTTTTTAGGTAATCACATTGTTTTTATTTTCTGATTATGAAGTTAGCACACAGGATCACATACAGAAGTTGTAATGGTTTTCAAATGAGACCCGAAACTCAAATGCTTTTGAATAGTTCACTATTCTTTTATTCTCTTGAAGAAGAATAGAGAACTATCTGAAAGTGCTTGAGTTTTGGATCTCATTTGAAAACCATTTTTATTTTCTATTATTGAATCAACTTATGTCCATAGATATAATTGTTGTTTAACGTACTTATTTTAAATTTACTTTTTAAATAATTAATAAAACATGTAAACAGAGGCTAAAAAGGCAATATGAAAGTCTTTAATAGCTTAAAAATATAAAAGTTTGAAGCTTTCTGGTGAGTGTTTAATATATTTAAAATAACTAACAGAGTTCTAAATCTTTTCTCAAAAAATTGAAGTGTGTGAAGCTTATTGTAACCTTTCAAAAGATTTCACTGAGGCTTTATTGACAATATTGTTTTGGTCTCTTGTTAAAGGAAGGTTTTTAATATGCAGAAAGAAATGTAGATATAGGTTAATAAAAATCATTTTATATTTGAAAAACTTTAGCTATGATAAGAGGCTTAAAGACTCAGACTTGCCTTTTCTGAATTGTAAATGAACTAGACGTGACTTAATTCAAGGGTTTAAAATTGCTAGAGCTTGAATAATCTGCATATAAGTTCTTTTTTAATGGTGAAATCAAAATATTGGAAATACTTGAATATTTCAGATAAAATTATAAGCCTTGAAGCCTAAAGACATCTATCTCTAGCTATTACTGTTCATTACTACTGATATAAAGATAATTTTTTGCATCTGCTAAAGACTTTTGCATGGTTCATACAATCATTGAAATAAATCATTGCTTGGGACATGCTCCTTCTTGTCAAGAATATTTTTTAACATCTTTTTCAAGCCTCATTTGGAGGTAGGTAATTCTTCAGACCCTTCTTTTTTTGCCTTCCTTCTTCTCCAAATATTTTAATATTAGCATAATATTTTAATTGGGACAAGCTGCTTTTTGATCAATATCTTTGGTAGCCTTCTGTACATCACTTGGTTCCTTCTGCCAGTACTTCTGATTCTACATCTTCCTTAGAGATATACGATTTGACTTTTGAATAGAATGTTATTCCCGAGTGTGTGATTATGTCTCAGTTAGATAGTCTTAAATGAATTTTATATCCTTGTTGTGACATGCTTCATTTTTTAATTATTGTCTGAGTTTTTTTGTTTTTTTTTGTCAAAATGCAAAGGCTTGCTCTGGAGACTTGTCTTTTTAGCATACTTCTCTAGCAACTCAATTATTTTGTACTTTATTTCTTTTCCTTATGTTGGAAATGTGCTTCTATGATTTCCTTATGCAGGACTTTTATTTTATGTTTGACTTAAAACTTTTCACTTGCATGAGTTATATTTGGCTGTGTTTCTGCCTGGCATCATAGTATTTTGGATAAAGTCATGTTCTTTTAGACTCAGTTGGTACTTTACCTTTCTTTACAAGATAGCTAATTGGTCAAGGATTCTAAATCTTAAGTACACCTTACTCAACTTTATATCCATTTAGGAATGCCTATCTATACTTTCAGCTGATTCCTTTTAAGGAGTGACAGCTTCATTACATCCTTACCTTTTCATCTTCTAACTGATCACTTACATTTTCTGCATTGGTCTCTGGAAATCAAAAATGACTTTACAGAAACTCTTTCAATTACAGAGGCATTTCTCCTGCATGCAGTCATGGACTCTGTATATTGTTAGTTATTTTATTCTTTCACCATCTTGGTTTTGAGAATTCATTTGTTTGTGGATGCTTCTTAGAGTATTGTTTGAATTGTTCACAAACTCCCTATTAGTCTGAGATGGAGTCTTTGGGTTCATATCTCTAAATGTTACTACTTATAAAGATTTTTCACAATTTCTGGGTTCTTCTTGCTTTATTTGGACAACTCCCCAATAGCAGAATTTAAAATTATTATAGGCATTGTTTATTATTATCATTCAGCAAATTATCAGTCAAATCTGGAAAATTTTAACAATATTTTATTATTTAGGGATACGAGTTTTTGATTGGTAAACTTCTGTTTGAAAATGCAAACTAAAATGTTTTAATCAAATCACTTTTAAGTGAAGCATTCATTAAAAGTAAGATTAACAAGTCTTAAATATATTACTAACAATGCTAAAGTACTTAGCATACAAATAACTGTGTGTTAAATACAACTGATCAGTATAGGACATACAGTATGGTTGCAGAGGGTAGGTGAAGGACAATATAATTATCAGTAACTACTGGTCAAAGTAAGCTACATGTGTACATAAACAGATTCAAACTTACAATTAACACAGTAAATAAGCTAGTTAATTTAATATATCAGTCTAAAACAAAAACATACAACTAGAATGCATTGATTTATCAGTGGATACCCTGAAGTCCAGCTAGTTTAGGTCCTAATTTCATATGTTACAATCAAAGATAACAATGCATAAATTATCTTCATAATAAGAATATACATGTATGGAATAAATGTATTAAATATTTAAACAATGCTATTAATGAAACTAACATAAAACAAAAGAAATATAACTAATGCACCATCACTCATTACCATATATGTATTCAAAAACATGATACTAGCATCTGCAAAACTTTATATAATCCACCCAAACAGTGAACAGTGAACTCCTTTTAAATTGCACTAATAGTGTAACTTTAGGTTAGTTTACATCTGAGATTATTGGTAATGACACATGTTGCTGTTTACTGAACATACTATGATCTATGTCTATGCTTAATTAACCAAACTAAGACTACACCTATTACTTATGCACTTGATCAGTTTAAAGGACTGGCAGCTTGAAGATAATGATTAGAGTTAAACCCTAAGAACTAGCCGTGACAAGGTACAAGTAAGCAGTGACATAATCAAGGCCAGGCCTGACCATACACATGCCTAAATCATGTGCAATGATAAATTCTTGACCTACAAATGAATTTGAATGCATAACATTAGTTTTTGTGGTAGGAGTGGTACAAAGTGTGAAGAGAGGGAGCAAATAATCAATGAGCTGATGGAATATAATATTATTATGTAATTAGATTATTTAGTTTGTAAGATTAAATGCTCCCTTTTGCATAGTACCTGGCTAACTGTTTATGAAATACTGTTGTTTTAATGTAATTACATACAATCCAATGCCAGAACATTATAGAGTTCTTTAGCTGTGTACAGACTAAGGTCCTGCATACTTGCATTCATACGTACAAAGGGACTAGACCAAAGTACTGTGTGCAATGTGAGCATGACACGGTGGTGTTTATGAAACATCAGGAAAGTTCACAGTAATAATAAAACTTAAACAATGAAATAACATCAATGATAAATATGATAAGTTATTACAGAAATTCATGTAACTAAACTAATAATACAATGCTATACTATATAAGTAATTCTTATACAGTTTGCAACAACTAGCCCTAGGCAGTATTAATTGTGGTTGCTGTATTAAAGTTGTTCATTATTACCTTAGATAATTAGTTAACACTTTCACTGCTAACTTCTTTTTCAATGGCTAGCTCGATCTGGCTAACCATTTTTTTGAGAAAAGATATGATTTCATGCTACCCACTTTTATCACTTGAAATAATAATACCTTCAGTGTTTCAGAAATGAATATTCATATACATATGTAGGAATGCCTTACCTCATCAAAAATGAGTATAAACAATGTATCTTTTGTAGCATTCCCCTTGTTTTTGAGCATTTACCTTTTTCTTTTTTTTTGTCAAACTCTGCATGGCTTAGTAGGGTGTTTCTTTTTATTGGTTGGTGACATGTTCTTTGAGTCCACCAATTAGACATGTGCTAGGATCAATCCTCGGTGTCTGAGGACATGCTGCAGCATGTGGTGCTTCCTCTTCACTATCAAAGGAAGATGGGGGGAGGGTCAGCTTCTGCCTGTCCAAATTCTGCCAGAATGCCATCAGTCACTTCCATTCTGAAGTTCAGCAATGAGAGCTTTTCTCTGGATTTGCCTGATTGTTCAAGATATGTGAGTTGATCATGCAAAATTCAAACATATATCGAACAAATTTCTTTCTCCACTTGATTGTTTTCTGTGTACAAAGTTAGTATTTTGCCATTTGATCAAGTTTGTCAACACCAGACATGTGTCTGTTCTAATAGAGCACACAATTTGGTTTTTGGATGAGCTGATTGTCCTTGTCTATCTTGCCAAAGCCCTCCATCCTGGAATTATGAAGTATGGAGATAATTTTTACTGGCCATATGTCTTTCCATACTAACACGTCTTCATCTCGATGAAAACCACCTGATCCTTCTGCAGTTTCTTGGCTTCATGCTGCAGATCATTAGAAAGTTTGGATAGGATCACAAATAATAATTGTCCATGTATACCTAGTAGCCAAATCCATACAGGTGTTCCAGGAGTCCATCACAGATTTGCTGCAGCATTTTGTCACCACCATAGTAGAGGTCATAGTTGTAAACACTATGCAGACTCTGAAAGAATGTACCCTTTCATGCAATATTTAACAGGCTTTTGTGGATTGTAAACATGAACTATTAAAAGACCTCGTCATTTGAGTATTCTTTCATCTAGGGACAGTTTTGAACTTGTTTACGATGTACTTGTAAATTGGCCAGATTTTATAGTCTATTTTGAAAATTTACTGGGATGT